TTTTTCAGACATTTCAAGGATTCCCTGTTCAATGGGGGTTGGGATTTGAGCATTACTATATTCCTTTGGTGTTGTCATATCTTCTTGTTTGTTTGTAGTTGTATTATTTTTTCACTGATGTTTGGTCATCTGGTAGAGAACTTGCTTCTTCTGTTACTCTGGGGCTGGGCTACACTCATGGAAAAGATTCACATGTTCCCCAAATATTGTGATTTTGGGGGATATAGTTGCCTCACAAAACAAACTCCAATTATTTAAGGAAAAGTTTTCTCCCAGTTCAGGTTCCAGAGTAGAGCAGAAGCAGGTGAAGACAAAGGCAGGAGAGGATGGGGTGAGGGGAGAGGTCTCTTCCACAAGGAAAGTATCAGGCAAGTTCTTCCATGTCCTCCAGTCTAAGTGTTCTTTGGCAAAGTGTACCATTTTCTCTTTGGAATTATTTAAAGGTTTCTGTTACTGCTGTTCTTAAATCCCCTCCCCTACCCCTTTCTCCTTGGTTTTCCATTCCTGTTCTTAATCAATCTCTTTGTGGTACTACTCATTGAGTCTTGTCTACCCCTTACCTCATCCTTTACTAACTCGAACTCCTTATGCTCAGCTTTCAATCCAAAATTTCTATTGTTTTAGGACTCTAGAAAGCAGTTGATAAAAACATAACCCTAGCTAATTATATGGTCAGGGGATGTTTTCTAAATGAATCATAGAAACATAAACAAGAAATGTGGCAACGGTCCCTTTAATTATACCAATGAGCAATCAAGGATCTGGACCATTAGTATAAATATTCAATGCAGTCTTCCTGGATAGTGTATTTAGATGAGAATACAGCTCTCTCACAGATAGAGAGAGAAACAAAGGAGAAGCAAGTTCACGGCTGTGTGTCAACTGGTTCTCAGGAGTGGAGGACAGAGGTGAGGGACTGCGGTGGGTCATCACCTGGAACCAGCCCCAGCTTGTGCTTCAGATGTGTCTCAGTGGTGCCAGCAGTGGGGCTGAAGACCAGCACAGCACCAGAGACCAGATGCTGTGATGCAGGTACTTTGGGCAAAGAGGAGCAATTTGATAATCTTTGGTATAATTGAAGGCACATCAAAAGAACCCCCTATCCTCAAACATCTAACTCTATACCTTGAAATTCCTACCACTAGACACTCCTTTGACTGAAGACTTTGACTACCAAAGGCTATTGCTCAAATGCCAATATCCTATCTAGGAAGCGATACTCATTAAGAGCCACCAAATACCCACATATCCTTAGGACAGGATGGGTTTTGATCAAAAGGCAGAGCATACTCACTGTAATGGAAGCCTTGGGTAGGATGAAGATGGTGAGGAACTGGGGAGGAAAAAGAGGGAAATGAGAGCAGCAAGAGAAAAAGTGTGGGAGGG